AGGGCAGTATATGGATATTTCAAGACAAGGAGGAATATTGGATTTGGGGTTTGCAACTCAAAAATTGGTGGTGGAGTAATGATACCTACGTTTTGGTGGGAAACAGTAATAAGGGATTTTGACCAGAACAGCTTCTGTGGAAATGAGAGAGGCAGAGGGATTTCTTAAGGTCAGAACTGAAGGAGAGGGACATCAGACAGTAAGCGTGCATTCAGTAAGCTTAGAGACAAAAGGCACTTGGAGTTACAGAAGAAAATATGGTCAATTATTTTTGTCTTTGGAATCTGAAAACCTAAATCGTGTGTATATTTTGATGTTGGCGACCAAGGAGAACAGACCAAAGAAAGTAACAATAAAGGAGTGGGCTATGAGGAGTCTGAGGTAAATCACAAGATGGCACAAGATCTTTGAATAAATTAGGGGTTTGTAGAAGAAACCAAATGAGAAGTATCTGTGTGATAGAGGAGAGAGGAAGAGGAGAAAGGACACATCGCATTCTTCCAGTTTTCATTTGGAAGAATTTCCAAGCTTTGATGGGTGAGGTTAGTTTTGTGACGAGATTTCTTTCGAGGATACTCTGCAGTGCAGGAGCCTGAGCAGTTAGTGATGCTGGGGTGGGTCAGATGGGATGGGAAGTAGAAGGACGTGACCCACAGGGGCAGAACGCTTGGGAGGGAATTGAAATACAGTGACAGTCACTGACTGTATCGGTTGAAAAAAAGAAGGGAAAGCAAAAACTTGCTGAATACAGATATATGATTGGGAGTCAGAAAAAGGAGGAAAAGCCAGACATGAGAATTGGGTTCATGGCCCAATCTCTCTAGCTGCTTCCCTCTCCTGCCCTTCCTGCACCTTCCATAGGGAACTGGTCTGCTGGCAGGATTGAAGGAAGGAAGGAGCAGGTTGTCTCTCAAGAAAAGACCCAGTGGGAGTCTGGAGTACTGGCAGCCAGAAAAGGGAATGACGGAAGACTTGGATGCAATGAAAGGTGGAGAGAAGCTTAAAACTCCCACTCCCATATGTGGCAGGGAGCTTTGGGTAACGGGACACCTTCAAAAGAGAAGGTGTCAACAACAAAAAAATGTTCAGATCATTGAGAAAATGAAGCCTGAGCATTTTGATTAGAACAAGTATTTCAGAGGCAGGAAAGGAGTAGGAGGAAGGAGAGAGGAAAAATGGATCGGGACATGAGGTGAACTCTTACAGTCCATAGGCAGGAGAGGTCATGGTGGTTCAAGGGTCACTTGGAGTTGGGCATGTCAATGATGTGAAAAACATTTTCAGTTGACTGCTTCACGGCAACTTCAATCCAGTTGGATTTATGCAGATGGGAGCATGGAAAGCGGTCTGAACAGGAGAGAAGAGAAATAGTTTGCAACACCATATTTTATGGCATTCAGAAATGAAAAAGAAATGGGAAAAGAGTAATATCTACATTTTGATCATGACATACCACCTGCCAGTAAGCCAGGAAGGGGAAGACAGCAGCTTGGTACTGGGAGGAAGCGTGCTGTTCCACTTCATTTATTTGTTTCCCATCCATAGCTAAACTTTGTCACTTTCAGAAAAAGAAAAAAAAAGCACAAAAAAAACCCAAACCAAACAAGAAAAACCCCACAAACAAACCAAAAAGTGCACCTCTTTGGTTTCTATCTTGATGGCCAGATACCTTGCCCATGATCTATTAATCTCTGATACTGATTGTTCCATTCTTCTCTTTACCAATCACTTTTAAAGCATGCTTTTTGCAGTACATTCAGTGCTGTCGCCATTATTATTTTGCCTCATGTTTTATTTTATCAGAATGTTGTTATTGCTTTCCTAAATCAAGCGTATCAATTTCAAGTTATTTATTATTTGGTTCAGGACTCTGTAGCACTTTTGTCCCCTTTTCATCAACAGTAATCTCTTCTAAGTGCATAGAGTCAGAGAAGGTAAGAGATATTTTTTGAAAAGGTGGGGAAGAAGAGACAAGATCAAGTGGTACGCAGAGGTAGATGGAACATGCTGTGATCAGCTGATACCAGTATATTGGCTTTCATTAAGGTAGTGACCTAATGCTGTAGCTTAGCAGGAGAGGAGACAGCAGCCCTGCCACAAGCAGAAAGGATATTGTGGGAGAGTTGGGGGGAGGTATGTGCAAAAAAAGAAAAAGCTTTGGGAACCTGTGACTTCATCCATCTCTCTTTGCAAAGGCACACTTGAATGTAGGTAAACATTCTTGAAAGATTTGCCTTGCTGCTTCTTAAAATCCTCTGTCAAAAAGTTCCAACACCTCCTTGGACTTGAAGCTGGGGTGAGATCACTGTTTAAATATTCTTAGGGTGAGAAAGTTTTTTCCTAATATTCTAGCATGAGTTTTTTCTTATTGCAGTGTAAACCCTTAAGTAGCTGGTTTTTGGCCACTGGCTCTGGAGAATGTATTGCTATTTTTGTAAGTACCTCTTGTTTGATGATACCTTCTCACAGTCTATTCCTAGCGAAGATGTCTACTAGATATCGCTCAGACAATTCTATTGCTTTCTCCTATACATATAATTAACCCACAACTTCCTTGACATGTGATGCCCCAAATCGGACATTTCTGATGATCGTTCAATATGTTTATGAAAAATATTGACCAGTGCGTGACCTGGAATAAAGCCCTTTGCTTATTAGATCTTTCCATTTTGACAATTAACTGCTCTCTGGTCTTTTTCCAATGAGATTCACGTCCAAGTTACAGTCCTTTCATCTATTGTGTATTTCCTCCTGCCATGAGAATATCATGGGAGACCAATTTTTTAAGAATTACAGAAGTAAAATGAAAAATTGATGGCATTTGATGCCTGTTTCCTATTTTCAAGGTCAATTACTCTGTCATGGAAGGACACTAGGTTGATTTGGCAAATGTTGTCCATGGCTCATTTCTCTGTTGTTCTTCAGGTGCTTACAGTACTTTGCTTTATTATTTGTTCCAGTATGTATTCTACAAGTTAAAATAACATGAGAAGTCAGTAGTAACGTAGGTATAATTTGACACCCTTTTAAGGATCATAATTACAATTCTTGTAATGTCCCTTTTAAATCCCCTGCTAGTTTTCTCTTGTTCTGTTTTTCTGACTTTGTCTCTGAATATTTGAGTTATTCTTTTAACCCTCATTAATAATTCGTCCCAGTTTTTCTTCTGTGGGCTTCCTTTTGAATTTTAGGTAATTGAGGAGCTCTTAATTTTAGCCACATTGGTCTTTTACTACAGTCTGCTCTTTTCTCTACACTAAGATAGTTTATGATTGTTTCTTTAGCATCAATTCTTCAAGGAACTGACAGTTCTTCTAACTCAGTTTTCCTGTTGAATTGTTTCTTCCTGTAGCTTACCTGCTAATTCTCATGAGTTTACTGAAATGTGCTGCATTGAAGTCATGTTCTCTCTCCTCTGCTTCCTAAATTTCACAAAATTACTCTGTTGGCATGTTGACTTAAGGTCACTTGTTGTCATCTTTTTTCAACCAGTTCTTTTCTACTGTTTGATGCAAATCTAGAAGTCTTTCTTTTCATCGCTTTCTCTACCTTTTCTATTAAAAAAAAAAAAGTCACCAGTTCCTCTGCAGTCCATTCCTACTGGGCATTTGTGTATTGACATCACCTACCACGATCAGGTCCTTTGCTTTATAC